ATGAAAAACAATCTTAATAAGAGAAAGTCAACACAATATTGTAACAACAATGTCCACGTAACGAATTTGACAAATTCTCTAAAGCCGGTATACGATGATCTTCCTAGGACATCCCTCAACAGCAAATAGACAAAGCGTGTATTCTCCCGAGCTATACTTATCACGACTATTTATGGACAATGTACCCAATAAATATCCATAGAGTAGGCCCATTAGCTGACACTGTAAGACCCCGCCACATCAAAGCCTGGACACCAAGTCCCCCACTACCCTACTTCGTGGCTTCTTCGATCGGGGAACGATAAAGACAGGCACAGATCGATAATTGATCAGTCACTCTTCAAAAATTGGCCAATTATGTCAACGAGTCAAACATCTTTAACATCGACCCTCCCCTCAAATGCGACTTGCTCACCTGGGGTAAGCATAATTGAATGTTTTCTTTCAAACCACTTTCCACAGGTCCGTAATCCGACTCACGAGTGTCAACTTGGTTAAGATGTGCTTCACTGCCGTTATGTACTGGAAACTACCACGCGGGTTTTAGAAGTTGTAGTTGATGGCTGGTAGATCGGTATTGGACATGCCAAATGGGGAGAAGCATTATTTTCAGCATCAATCCAGGTTTTTTTCCCAGTAAGATGCTTTTATCGAACAAGCGTTGAATACACCATGCTAATTATCGTGATTGCCAGTATTGATCTGACGAACGAGTTTTTATCACTGAACGGTTTTCCGAAATTATAACATACGAATTATCATTTCTCAGAGAACGGCGATAATGTCACAAAGCCATTAGAGAAAATCACATTTATGGATGTATATGTTAGACTGATTTAAGTTTGTCTGATTTTACTTCCGAAAGTAAAACATTACACGATTTATAGTTTCATTCTTGCGGCTATGGCTGAACCTTTATGATACAGAAATATCGGGAAAATGTCCATTAAAAATACAGAAATGTTTGAACTTCGAAGGACACTCTGAATGACATTTTATTTTACTTTCAGGTGAGCGCAGCGGGTTCGATATCTGATTAAATTAGTTTTCCCCTCTTTATACCACAACCCTGACCCTGTGTGTGCATTTCTTCCTCAATCATGCAAACACAAATTGATTTCAGAATGACCCGCTTGATAAACTCGCAGTTCAAATGAAACGTGTGTTTTCATGATGACGATAGACCCACACCATACAATGGCGTATTAATTTTCTGATGAAAATATCCCTTTTAACCTAAAAGCACCGTGCTGTAACCTACTGGTCCCCGGAACATAAATTGATTTCTGAGGGTACTTTGCTTCCAAAGGGTATAACGTAACCTATATCGCTTGTCATCCATGTCATATAAGGATTGCATGCTTTGTGATTAATGATAAACGCAGGAGAAAAACATGCACTTAGGATTTCATAATGAATTGAACGACATTTACAGTTGAAAGAGACGAGACCGTAAATCAAACCGCACATATCACTGTATGGTCAACAGTTTCGGAGTGTCAACCTGGAAATGCAGCATTATGACAACGAATAGAAATCCCATGCCATAATTCCAGCACATTTTTACACGCTATTTAACCATCCTAGCGTTGAGGTTATTATACATGATGATGCGAGTGTGATGGTAAAAGAGAGCATATCAACAGTTAATCGGAAAATCAGTACGATGCTCAAGGGTAATCTTGCAATCGCTAAACTATCGGTTAAGATCATTTTTGATGCAAAACTGGATGCGATGAGTTCTGAGTCATGCCTAATCATATGTAATTCTTAATACCTCTAAATAGTATAATTATGTCATTCAGTGTGAAAATATGTTAAAATTCAAATGTCTCACAAAATTACTGTTTCGTTGATAAAGCAGTTGATTTATGACTAATACTTAATGATAGACATTATGAGGTGGAGTGCTTAACCTTGATGAGAATAATATGACTTAATACAATTGACATCATTGTATAAACTGTTGAAAATGTTTATTAATTATATAATGGTTCATGGAACATTATGAACTAATTCACAAATTTCAAACAATTTTTGACGTGACTTTGTCAATTGGCTTCTGGGGTATTTGTCTTCAAAGAACATTCAGCAAATAAAACTGCCACTGATTGTACTGTTCTTTTGTGATTTCATAAGCAAAGGTAGTAATTACTTTACAATGATTACAGGCGAAGATAGTAGCAATCACTCGTTGATCTCGAAAAGGAGACGAATGGACTTGTCTTAGTAATAAATTCGGAATTTAAGAATCTAAATGAAATATTTTATTTGCTAGATTTAACAAATCATTCTTAATTTACTGATGAGAAAAGGGCTGAAAAGACCCACCGTATTGTGAAATCAAACGTATGACAAACGATGGGAAATAATTATAACGCAAGCATCTCTCGTCTTTGTTGAGTGTGTTAATTGCGATCATCTAAATTTATCAGCAAACTCGTTTTAAGGGTGGGTAGGTGCAATGAGGTTAATTAAGCCTTGAATCGGGTGTTAATTAAATCTGGAATTATAGGCTCATCGTTATGACAAAGAGGTTGGTATTCCCCCAACGTCTTCTGTCATAAACTCACCAACTTCTGTACCAGGTCTTTAAGTTGTCAACAACAGAACTGGTTCATGCTGCCACAAAAACGGATTGATAGTACATTAATAAGGTGATTAACTGAAGTGGGATTCAAACGGATTGCTGGAACACAAAGTTGAACTCTATTCACCATCAAGAATCGCTGACAACTGATAAACTGTTTCTTACAGCTGCCTCACAACAACCTCTTCATGCTATCAACCAGTGCTTTGCCAGTTCAGACTTGACTGATAGTCTGTGGGGTGCAGATATAATATTCCTGCATAATTTAAAAAATAATAATATTCATTTACTTGATCCCAGTGTATGTTTGAAAGTGAAAAATCACCCCATGCTTACTGAAATAAGAGTTGTAAGTTATTACTTAACATTATAGAGAAATAGTTCAGCCATATAGCCAACAGAGCAGCAACACTACCAAATACATGATAAGGCACAATAAAATATCAGGTTACTTAGCATTAAACAGGCGTACTCAAACCCCATGACATATAACAACCCCATTCAACAGGACAGTATGCTTTCGGACTGCATTCACAGCTCCCTTGGGGTTATGCAACATTGCTTCACAACCCAAGCTGATTTTTACACAGAACAATGCTGTGTAATAATCGATGGCAGATTTATAAAGGTCACTCAATCTGGTAAAATCAATGTCAGAAGGATTAAAAATAAAACTTTCACTTCCACTTAGAGTCCACTGTATTCCAGCACATCTAAACTAATATGGATATGCCTGTTCTCCTGTTTCAAACTCATTTCAATCTGTCATCCCAGAAGACATGGTCTTGGGTTCAAAGATCCTGACTCCAGGTGAAACACTCACAGATTGATGTTGGCCAGCCATAGCAGTGGCATAGGTGCAATACAAGTCATGTGTTACCTGGTACCATTGTCTCCAGATCTGATCACCCTATGGTTAGAGGAACTCACAGAGTCCAGATCATTTCATTGCTGTCCTGACAAGGCTATCAACATAGCTGTCTCACCCTTTATCCCCTTCTTCCTCCCCGACCTCAGCCAGCATTGACTGTACCCACACTTGGGAATACACATTTGTGTGTGGACCAACATGCGGCATGCATCAAATAAAGAACCTTATTACCTGACAATGATATCATTGCAAAGGTTCAGTGAGCCGCATAATTAATTACATTAGTTTTAAAGATATAATTGAGTCATCACAATCACTCTAATCTGAACAGAGAGTTACTTTTCCTCAATGTCCGTGTATGGGATACAAACAGCAGTAATTACCACCCACCAGCCACTAATTACGCATGCTATTTGACCACTTGCACCTAGTATGGAGACAACCTTTTAATTGTTCACCTATGTATCAAGACAGGACAAAGGGTAGGCATACAGAAAACTGATGACATTTTGTGAGGAATGTACAAGGTCCTGATATCATGTTAATTACTGGGCTGCCAATCAGGGACACTATGGATGAGTGCTGAATGAAATTGACATGTCATGTTTCATTTCAAGTGGTATTCATATTGACATGGCCATCACTGATAGCACCTGTCAATAGAATGATAATTACAGCTGATATGCTGTGGACATTAATGTGATTAGTCTGCTATGTCGCTGATCTCGGACTAAAAAGTTATATAGATTTATCCAAGTTATAAAATCATTGAATTTTACTGGAGCTTGTGAAGGAATAACTGCACAGCATAACAATTTCAAAAGTGCCAGCAGAAAGTTGAGGAATTGTATTGATCAACCTCAGTTTCATGTCTCTGCAGATCACCATTCCACAAACAGGCAGTGGGTGGTAAAATGGCTTGAACATGACTTCAGTTATGTTTATCAACCTCAGTTTCATGTTAAGAAGACCCCACAGTGCAACACATTTCTGTTCCCACTGAATTCGTCCCAGTGAACAAAATTCAGATTAGCAAATCATTGTAGATCTTTGTACCAAAACTGTCCAAAATCAAGGGTCTGGATTAGTGAGGTTTCACTGTATTGCATAGAGTGAGTGAGTGAGTGAGTAGGGTTTTAGCATTCTATCTATTGGTGAGGTGAGGTGAGGTGAGGTGAGGTGAGGTGAGGGGAGGTGAGGTGAGGGGAGGTGAAATGGGGTTTAATGTCCCATCCAAGATTATTGCACTTATATAGTGATGTGCATGCATGTGCGTGTGTGTGGCAGCTTTTTCTAGTGGGAAGTGATCCCAACTGAGGTAACATGTCGCAGTTTAACATGAATACCCCACTCAGACACAGCATACTGACTCCGTGCCGAACAGTCCTTGTTTTAGCCCCTTAATGCCAGGGTAACAACAAGTACCATCTTTTAATGTCTTTTGGTATGACATGGCCGGGGATCAAACCCCGGACCTTCTACTCTCCGAGTGGACGCTCTACCACTAGACCACGGAGACGGTTCTATCAATTCACTTACTTGGACATCTTGTTCTGGTGGTTGTACAAGTACTTCACGTGGTTGACTTTGCAAAATGGCTGTCAAATGTTGTTTCTGTTTTTCAACGCTAACAGTATGGACATCACCATAAGCAATCGTCTCAGCTTCTTCGTTTCTTGTGGGACAGGCAGTGTCTGGAAACATGAGTCCTGTGGTCCTCAAGTCAGAAGCATTCACAAAGGCAACATTCCTGCTTATGAGCTTGGTATTTTCCCTTGGGAGGGTGTAACGCTTAGCTGTCTGTCTGCTGATTTGTACTGTATGGTGTCCACTATCAACCACAGTTTTTGAACGGTTGTAACCTAAGCGCAGTTTTGGCACATCAGATTTGGAACTTAGTTTTTCAGCTGAAAAAGTTGACTGTGGAGGAACTTGAGTTAGGGGTTCAATGTGTGGATATTGTTGAAGGCGATCAAAGGTGTTGTCCTGACTGACACCAGTTGTCTCCCCCTGCAAACTCTCCCTTGACACTGTCCGGGAAGGAGTAGAATTAGAAGACTGTTCACTTGAGTCAATCTGAGACACAGGAACCTGGATGACCAACCGCTTTGCTGACTCAGGATCAAGTGATCTAGTGCCGGCAAACATCTGCTCACATCCCAACATGGAAGCTGAAAATATTTTATTATTTTATGTATGTTTTAGCATAAGAATTATGCCACAGTAAATAATTTATTAGATCTTCATCCAATCAAAGGCAGGAGATTTTATTTTTGTATATTATATTTTTTGGAACAGTTAATTTGTTCAAGGCATGTGTCTACATTTACACAAACTTGCGATGGATGTGATTCACATGATGCAGGACTGTTTGGTTATACTATATGTACAGGGTGCATATCACTTAAAAAAACAAACACATGTAGCAATGTTTTTCATGTGTGTGTACTGGGGAAGAATAAAATAATGAGTTTTGGTGTGTTTGGTAGTGGAGCAGGTGGGGATGAAAATTTATTAATTAATTTATTTTGGCTTGATGTTTTGATATTTCAAACTAACTGAATTATAGAATATAATTCATATCCTTGTTAAGTACAAGGGATTGCAACAAATGTTTCCATAATTTGATACATGCTGACCCTATGTATTCTACCCATACCATAAAGTATCATGGTCATGAAGGATATATCAAGTTAACTGATTGTGAGTTAACAAGCTTTCTCTGTATCCTTAGGCTAGAGAACCGGGAGAAGTCATGTATATTCAAACATAAATGTTTCATTAACCAGAATTAAAAACCCTCCATAAGAACAGATAGATATTTCAAAATCGAGAAAACAGCTTAAATTTTTTGTTTTCTTCTGCTGCAGATAACATCTTTTTCATAGATAATATTCCTTTATATTTCACTGTATGTTAGAAGAAAAAGAGTACATTTATATCAATACTTAACACCATAATTATATCAATACTGGTAAAGTTAGCTCAGCAATTACAAAACTAGGATGTAAACTGTGAAACTGAATGTCGATGGCAATGAAAACAGCACATATCCTGGTTAGATAAGTTGTCAAGATTAGAACAGAACATCCATTATTCTTGTGAAGTAGAGGAAGCCTGCATAAGTCTGAGATGACTTACCTGATAACTGTCGCAACTAACCTTGGTGGGTGAGGTCAGGGGTGGGGGCGTAGAACTCCCCCAGGGAAACATGGGTGTGGTCCTCCGGAGGAAGGGCTATCTCTAATTGGCTGGTTTCAGCGAGAAGCTCACTTTCATCAATTTTATCCTGAAAGTCATAATATTAATTTATTATGATGTATGTGACGTATTTACAATGGATAGCACTTAAAATTGACATGATGTCAGAATTAGTAGATAACATAAACCAATTTGTCAGTCATGGTTTGTTTGGTTTAAATCAGCGAAGCTGTCATAATAGCTATTTCTCAATTGTTAACTTTGGCTCTACATATAAAAAACAAAGCATCTTAACAAAAAAGGAAATGAAAATAAGCACTTACAGTTGACCAGGGCCCTGTTCCACAAAGCGATCGTAGCGCTAAGACGATCATGACTCCCATACTTTACATAGACTTACGGCAGGCAGTCTTAGTGCTAAGATCGCATTGTGGAACAAGGCCCTGGAAACAGGGAATACTGCTGCATGATCTTATGAATATTTGTGTCATATTTTCAAAGCCTATGACAAAATATTGAAGGAGTGGGTGACATGTTTTATGTCAAATTCATCAATATTGTGTTATAATCAGGAAATACATAGTTGGCATACACAAATACTATATATAATTTCCTAAAATATTACGATGAATGAAATTGAATTCAGTTAATACAATGATCATTTGACAAAATTCCACGGTCAAGTCAATGATCAAAGTAGTGTAACAGCACTAATTTTGGTATATAACAAGCAAAATAAATTCCTTATCATCAAAGGATGATTATGTTGTGATTAAATATTGCATCTAAGAGTTAAGAGCACATTGAATAAGCTACAACGTTGATGAGGAACACCAGACTCTTTAGCTCCGCATATTTACACTAAGGGCCTCATTAAAAAATTGGCTGCAGACAGTGAACTAATGAAATAAATTGTTTGCATTGACAAATCAATCTTTGGCACTTTTATTAAATGAGGGATCCCTAAAAAATTTAAGCACATCCAAATTTGTGAAATGCATGTAACTGATTTGATCCTGGGCTTGCCATCCTGACTGACTATAAAATGTCAGCAAGAAACTGCAGTTCATATTATCAAGTTTTCCTCATTTCAAAGATATGGAATTATTCCACGGACCCCAAATCATTTTAACAAGTAATTGAACATCTGATTGGCAAAGACCATTAAAGACAGTTTCCTAATATTGATCTTGTGTGAAGATAATCCTATTTTCTGCCCAGTGTTGCTGTTCAAAAGACAACAAATAACTTGTGGTTGCTATTCAGACTCTATTCCACTCCCTTGGGCTCTCCTAACATATCAGTGAAACCTTCAATCCACATTGATGGGAATTTAACATTGGTGTGATCAAAAACTAGGGAAAAAGGTTCTTTTGTTCTAGAGTTATTTTGAAATTAAAGTGTTTTTTGGTGGTCCCACTCAAGGCTTGGGAAACAGAAGCCATACAAATAAATTAGTTCCGCTAAAACTGTGCACTCCTGTCAAAATGCATCACCTAATTAAATGTGGAGTTTCCCCTGAGTAGGATCTCATCGTTAGTGGTAGAACAATAAGGCTATTGGAAAGTACTTGAAATAAAACAGATCATCTCGATTGGCCAGAACTTCAAAAGGACCTCACAGCCGGCCCCGACAACTCAAAGTGCTCCATTGGTCACAAAGTTTTCAGTGGATTCACCACATAGTCAATAATTTCATAAAGATTGAACTTGAGGTTTTCGAGTCATGGACGTAAGCTATCTTTAAAGGAGGAACATCAAACATGGGTCATAGGGGATTAGGGGAAGGGCGGCATCAAAACAAACAGGCCTACCCTGTGGTCTGCGGGCTGGATAATTTGTGATCAAATTGATCTACTGGTAGGAAAAGACTTGGCACAAGATACAACTTCAAATGAACAATGGCCAAAAGACAAAGTGTAGGGCTCAACAGTCGGGACATACTGTGGCCATTACTCTTTTGATTCCTCCGATATGAGATTACTCGCTAGAGATCACAAACCATTGACTCACCCAGCCCCGGTGCTGATATGATATTAATAATAATAACATAATCACAATGTGAGTCATGGACATGCCCTGTGTTTATACATAGTGGTATTGTGCCTGACAGTAATGTTAGATAGCTATTAGTCTTTAACCACCAGTGTTGCTGCTCGGGCCATTTGAACTACCTAGGATAAAGCAACTATGGGAAATATCCTATCTGGTGATGAAAACTCTAGCTTTGTTCTATGTATTGCGTTATCCAGGTTCTGAACGAATTCAAATCAATAAATGAACATTTCTGAATGAATTGTGTAAACTCAATTTTTCAAACATAATGAGTATTAAAGAAGTGTGATCTTTATGAAATAACTCTGACCCAACTCTAATAATAAATCTGACCCTTAGGTGTCCTGGGATTAACATGGCAAAGGGGAAGTAAGGCTGGACTATGAACAAGATGTAAATCAACATGTCATGGCGGAGATGACATAAGATCTTGTTTGACATACTGGGCATGACAATCAGGGTTCAGATTTGTGGAAATCTACACCCAGGACATTGAATCAGGGTTCAGATTCGTGGAAAACTACACCTAGGACATTGAATCAGGGTTCAGATTTGTGGAAAGCTACACCCAGGACATTGAATCAGGTGTTATTTGAGGTAGACTACCCACAGGACATTGAATCAGGGTTCAGATTTGTGGAAATCTACACCCAGGACATTCAATTAGGGTTCAGATTTGTGGAAAGCTACACCCAACACATTGAATCAGGGTTCAGATTTGTGAAAATCTACACCCAGGACATTGAATCAGGGTTCAGATTCGTGGAAAGCTACACGCAGGACATTCAATTAGGGTTCAGATTCGTGAAAATCTACACCCAGGACATTGAATTAGGGTTCAGATTTGTCGAAAGCTACACCCAGGACATTGAATCAGGGTTCAGATTTGTGGAAAGCTACACCCAGGACATTGAATCAGGGTTCAGATTTGTGGAAAGCTACACCCAGGACATTGAATCAGGGTTCAGATTTGTGGAAAGCTACACCCAGGACATTGAATCAGGGTTCAGATTTGAGGAAAACAACACCAATGGTATCAAATCAGGGTTCACATTTGAGGTAGACTACCCCCAGGTATTGAATCAGGGTTCAGATATGAGGAAGACGACACGCAGGATAGATGTGGTGGAGCTGAGCATTAGGATTCAGATGTGCAAATACTCGGAGCATCTACACAGTGTTGACTTCTTATCTGTCGAGGACATGCTGCCACATGTCAATACCCAAGAGCTGCAAAACAAGGCATAAAGAAATACCTTCTCAACCCATTACTTGACATGTATAAAAAATATGCATGAATAAGCTCATAAAATCTCCAAAATCATCAAAATAGTAAATAAATTTAAAATCTTTTCAAAGTGGAAATTATTACCATTATAAATGGTACTGATGCAAGCAAAGATAAACTGGATGTCCTTTGATGTGTTCTGGGCCTGACATATGTAACAGCATGTTAGCTGCTCACGATATTGCGAGTGAAATAAAATGATCATATACATCAGCAGGGGTATATCTTTGCTTGGGTAAACATAAATCCCCAGGAGCGAGTCTAATTCAGCATTATTGCTCATCACCGGCTGCCACCCCTGGGAGGGGGAGATTTATGTGACGTTTACACCAGCCCTTCAATACATGTTTCTCATCACTTAAACATTAATCACATACTTTGAAAAAAAAATCAAAGATGGCTATCTACAATATTTCATTTAATTATGAAGGATAAACTTTAAAATATTTCTTATGATACATGTACTCTTACATGTTGATAAAAATGTTAGACATTAGATATTGACTGAGTTTGCTTTGATGCCATTTTCAGTAATATCCCAGTAATATCATGGTAGGGGACACTTGAAATGGACTTCACACATTGTATTTTCGGGTATTTCAGCTGTGCTCTTATTACTCCTGATGAGGTGCAAGGTGCACGAGAATAAATGAACTAAAGAACAACAAATCACATGTATGTCACGAAGTGGCATTGAATCTGCAATATTTCAGCTATGTCACATCAGTGTAAAAGTAGGCAAGTCTGGATCAGACAAACCAGTGGTTGATAGCATAAGCAACAATCCATGTCATCAGCCAAGTCACAAATGAGAGTTGGCCTGCCTCTAGCATTCACCAGATGATGGAATATTAATCATCACCAGCCATTGTGACCACCTAATTCGCATTTTATTTGACATTTTATTTCACATTCATCAGTGTAATCCCCATGAAGTGAATACACTGTTCACAAAAAGTCAAACCAAGCTCCTGATTTCATATTACTAAAGATAATCTGTCATGCCATGCCTATTACAGATTAACTACAACAAGAATAAAGTAACATTATAATATGAAAGAATTGGACTATTTTCAACTTCTTTTGAATAGTAAAAGAATCCATAAAATGTTTAAATTGACAAAAACAAACTTGTGAATGAATTCCTGGAAATAACAGGTTTATCAAAATAAATATATTTGAAAAAGGAAGTCACCACATGCACTGATATGACATTTAATGCACTTGGAACCTGAACATATGGCAACCTTTCAAAACAATTAAATTTGACATTTTTCTTAATATTTGTCTGATATACCCATCTCCTCTGACACAAGGCGACATGTTCGCATAACCTTTCAGCATGATCATTCTCAAAGTCACATTTCTGATTAATCTCTTCATATCACAAACGACAACAACCATAAAATGATGCTTGCCTCTACCCTTTCATTTTATGACTGGTGTATGATTGTTAATAACCTGATACAGCCCACACTATCATTGGACACTGATACAACCACGGACAACATCTAACGATATTGGCCTTTGTAGTCTAATTTCTAGCTATTCCAGCCTAGGTTTGCCTGTATCACTCTCGATCTGTGGCCTTTTAATCACCCCTCGAGATCAGAGATGTATACGTATGTGGCTATAGATCACGTATATTACAGGGTAATGACACACATTGTGAGGAAATAACACTAAGTGTATGTTTGTCATCATATGTCCTGTTCATCCTTGTTGAAATAAATGCTTGTTGGTAGGGATACATATCACAAAGAAGTGGCATGGGTCAAGTGTAAGAAGAAGACAATACCTTGTTAGCAGAACCATTCAAATAAATTGTAGAGTCTTGGAAATATCATTAATGCACTATTTCAGAAAGGTTTTGTTAGAGGCCAAAATTAGTTGATTGCAACAAGAGAATATCCATTAAATATTGATAATTTTAATGTACGATTTAGTTCAGGAATACTAAGCAGTGACTGGGTCTGACTGTATTACATTATACGGGTGTACTTAGCAGTGGCTGGGTCAGGCTGTATTATATTATACAGGTGTACTTAGCAGTGACTGGGTCAGGCTGTATTACACTATACGGGTGTACTTAGCAGTGACTGGGTCAGGCTGTATTATATTATACAGGTGTACTTAGCAGTGACTGGGTCAGGCTGTATTACATTATACAGGTGTACTTAGCAGTGACTGGGTCAGGCTGTATTACATTATACGGGTGTACTTAGCAGTGACTGGGTCAGGCTGTATTATATTATACAGGTGTACTTAGCAGTGACTGGGTCAGGCTGTATTACATTATACGGGTGTACTTAGCAGTGACTGGGTCAGGCTGTATTATATTATACAGGTGTACTTAGCAGTGACTGGGGCAGGCTGTATTACATTTTACAGGTGTACTTAGCAGTGACTGGATCTGACTGTATTATATTATACAGGTATACTTAGCAGTAACTGGGTAAGGCTGTATTACATTTATCAGGTATACTTAGCTGTGACTGTGTTGGACACATATTTTACAACATGTCAGTGACTATGAGATCACTTCAACTGGCATGTCCATGAGAATAGATAGATCCCAAGATATATAACAGCAGGTTTTATAAGAGATGGCCAACCACTAATATGATCAGATTTATCAGTGGTGCAAGATTCATCCACAGATATCCCAAAAGGCATATAGATACAGGAACAGGATCGACAATGGATTGGTATGCTGACAACAGACACAGTGGATAAGTAAGTGAGTGAGTGAGTTGGGATTAATGACACTTTTAACAGTATTCCAGTTATATCGCAGCGTGTCAGCTTAATGTTGGAGGAAAGCCCGAAGTGATGCAGGTCTCAGACGTTTACCACTTCGGTGAAACCCACGAGCATGGGTATGGTGCTGACAAACCTAGAAACATAATCGGGGCGAACTGGGAGTCAAACCCACAATAACAGATTTCTGGCGTGCCCAAGGGACACAACTCTGCACAGCAAATCTGGATAAGGATGCAGACAATGGAAATACTGACTGATCTCTTAACAATCGCCTAATAACAATCATCAGGACACATGCAATTACAGGTGCTGCTTTCATTATAAAGTCTGCATGCCAATTAGAAGACTACCACAATGTCAGAACAAGTGAATATGTTCTTCCCTCTTTGTCTGTCATCAGTTTATCTTGTCTGAGAACGGCTCATGTCCACCCTCCTTGATCCTCTCCAGCAGGTTCTACTGGTGCTGATGGCAGGATGCCAGGCTCATCCAGGATTAGTTGCCTTGTCTCAGAGTATGCTAGACACCAGGCTGTTGGTTTCAGCTGGCCATACTGGGTGTGGTTAAACCCTTTGGTTCATCTTGAAAGTGTTCGTATGATGACTGATATTGGAATTTTAAGTATTTCAGGAACATCATGATGATCAGTGTTTAGTGGTGAGAAAAGGTGAAAGTGACACAGGACAAAGATGTTGAACATTGTTGTGAAACCCAAGATGACAAGATTCATAAACTGTGATTTGATCCCACAATCAGTGGATGATGTCAACAGCAGCCGAGACCTGTCACACATGCAATACCTGATGGTTCTATGCCAACCCAGTAGTGCAGATATGGCTCAGTGTACCCTCCTCTCCTCGTCCTAATACAAGCAGTCCTCATTAACACTGACCTAATACTGTCAGGACTGAATGTGTGCATCCTCAGGCCAACCTTTTCATTATTTGTTTCCTGGATCTATCTGATCCAATTTTGAAACAGAAAAATAGAAAAATATTTTTTTTAATTTCAGAGTAAGATAATTAATTCACTGTTGGATTCATTTGAAACTCGGACAAGTGATATGAAGTCTCCGTCATAAGTAATACTATTTACAACATTTTTTCCCCTCACATTTCATTTTCACATCATGGACAGACATTACCATTTAGGCATGGCCATTTCTGTAACAGGGACTCTAAAATGATGATGATGATGATGATGATGATATTGATGATGATATTGATGATGATATTGATGATGATGATGATACATGTACTTACCATGTACTGTGATGGGTCCTCTGTGCTCGTCGAGGTCTGACTTACTAGACTCATTGTTTCCCCGTCATCACTGGACTCGGACTCAGACACGTCCTCGGTCAGCACCCGTGCTGGAACAACACTTTGTGAGTGAGTGAGACGGGTTTAGAAGTATTTCAGTAGCATAACTGTGATCGTATTACACAAGTGGACAACATGAAACATTCCAGCCACATTAGGGTGGCCTGTAGATGATGAGGACCAGGCACACCAGTGGTCGACAGCATGAGCAACAATTGTCAGGGCCTCAAGACATTCTGTTACAATCAGCTAGGCCACACACTGAAACTAGCAGAGGGTGCTGAACATTTATACTGTCCCAGATTGTTCCACTCTGACGAAACCCAAGAGCATGAGTATGGAGCTGACACACCAAGGATCTGGCATTCAAACCCATGAGAGAAGAAGGTGGCATCTGGGGACACAATTCTGGAAATAATGTATAAGTATAATCCACCTGGAAACCTGCACCCAACCCGTAAGACAATTAACCCTAAGAAAACAGTCCCCAGTAATACACAATATCTTTTATATTGATATCTTTACAAATTACAACTAAAAATTCACTATTTCAAACAAAGAAGCTTCGACACTAGTGAATTAAACTCATGGATCCTGAAAATAAGCATGTATATTTAGAAATGTACACTTCAAGCAATCCTTTAAAATTAGGTGTGTAAGTAAAAGTGTACAGCGAATAATGGCTACAAGTATCTCCTTGTGGATAGTTGTTCACAATACTGAGCAGTATTATATGTTAGTATTATTAGTTTGATTACAGAAACAGCACCAACAGGTGTTTCAAAATACTTACGAATTCCTGTTTACATAATATTCCTCATGTACACCAATATATATACTTGGGGACGACATATTCCTTGGTAGGGGTGAGGGTGAGGTGTCTTTTTCTTAGGAGGCAGTGTTCCAGGGAGCAGTATATTTGGAGGCAGTATATTTGCCCTTAGACTAACATTTAGTCTCTGAAATCTTATATCACACAATATCCTTCTTGACTCTAACAATAAAAAAAACCTCCCTTTGCTGATTTCAGAATAGAGCTAGCTTGAGCTGGCTAGACTTGCTTTTGTATGCGTTTCTAGATTTTTGTTTTTTTTCATAAAATAAATATATTCCACGGTCATGGTGCAGGACTTAGTTGCCCTGGAATCATTCCTTTCTCACATAATACTTCTCACTCGGACATATTTCTAACATTTACAATGCTTTTGAGATACTAAGCATTAACTGAGTCTATTTTCACAAGATTGACACGTACTGTTTATGCCTGTGAGAACGGCAGCATGCCAAGCCCCACAGTATACAGACTCCAGAGGGGTAGCCAGTGGCTGATTCAGACAGAGGGGATAGGTCACTTTGTAGGATGAGGTCTCTCCAGCAACTATTGTGTGGCTGTTCTTGCCCCACATGTACAGGCGGCCATCACCTGAAGACAAACAAAGTCAATATTGGTTGTTCTGAAAACAATGTTGGACCATTCATAAAATATATATATATTTCACCATGAATGCGTAAAAAGATGAAATATCTGCAAGATGTCATCCTGGTATATTTACACAATCATTTTATTCCCTCTCAATGAGGTATACAAATAACACACACTGATCCAGATAGGAGTGCAGGGGTGTGCAGTCCCCATGTGTCAAAGCATATGTAACATTTACACCTTGGATTGTGCAAAGTTGACCAGATAAGGTATTACAAGGCTATAATTGCTACCAAATGGAATAGTGTTTCAAAGCCCAATGGGGAATCTGAGTACGGTCAGACAAAGTGACTTGGTTGATTGCATGCCACTGCATCCAAATGGCGTGGACCATTGCTCACAATATCGGACCACTGCTCACAATATCAATCACTGTATTGTCTGGTTCAGATTAGATTACTTAGAGGCTGCTGTCAGGAAGGTGGTATATTGCTGAGTGCAGCATGAACCAATTAATAGTTTCACATATTATTTGCATCAACCTAGCACTTGCATACTACTCAAAAGAACTTAAGGACCAGCCAATTCTTTCCTATCACTATGGTATGCAGATCTTTTCCAGAAGGCTGTCTGTCTACACCACACATGGAATAATCTCCAAATGAAAGGAGCAAATCTTGGATTTCTTTCCTGTTTCTTTTTCTGCCATTTTTCTACCAAACTGATCAATGTAGTCTCTATACTAACATTATATTTTTAGTCATCACAGTTCAATATCAACTGCATTGAAATAAATAAAAAAACTTTCAAAAGCTTAATATTTTAATAATCCATAATCTTCCCAAATGAGCTGTTTCAACGACTGACAGGCAGCAATACCTCTTTTCTTTCCAAAATCAGGATATCTTTTTTCAAAAGAAACTAAAATCATTTTCAAACATGCGTTTTAAAGCAGGGAACAAATATCAGTTGAAAAACATGCAGACCACATGCCAGAATTGTTAGTCAAATATCCGAAGTTGTCATCAAACTGACACAAATTACAGCAGAAATTGCTTTAAGTGAAAATAGATTGTCAATTAACTGCTTCAAGTGGGATTTGCTCATTCACTTCCCAGGACTTAAACCCACAGAGTTGGTGGTAATTCACCAACACATCCGTCAATAACGTTTGATTATGGCAATGCTCCTCACCTTAATAAAATGCTCTCTGCGGGAATCAATCACACGACTAAATACCTGTAGTCTGTATTTTCAATTGTGGCCACATATCTGTCACCTGGCTGATAAACTTGCACAAACCCATAATGGTTTGTGTAATTCATGTAATCAATGAAATGGAGATGGATTGAATACTCGTCTTTGACTAGACGCCACTCTAATCACTTTTTATAGCTCGTCACTTACTTAAATTCACTCAATTGTGAGGTGATATTTTTTAGCCTGTGTTTGGTTTACAGGAATTGCGTTGCTTGATTGACGGTAATGGCTCAAATTGAAAGCATGAATAAAAGTGATATTAACTTTATGTGTTTAATGTGGTTCGTCAGCTCAGGGTTTGAAAGGTAACAGTATTCAATGCAACAGAGAAATTACTGTTGTGGCGGTCATAGACTGTAACACAGTTCAGGAGTTAAACCACCTAAAGTGATCATTATGCCATTTTGAATATACTGTACTTCAAGATACTTATACTCTTCCTAAATAAACAGAAAAAATAAATAAAAGTGACGTTTTTTCACTTTGAAGAAGAAAATATGAAAAAATATAATTGACATCTGTTAAGTTTTTATTTTCCATAAGAAGTAAGTCAATCATATCATTTAATCATATCATATTTTAATATCGTTAACTATGTTGAAGAAAGTATAAAAATGAATTTAGAAAATGTCAGGAAAAGTAATTAAAGAAGAAATGAAGAGAACTCTTCAAATATCAAACTATTATGAAATCCATTTGAAGATATATTTGAAAAAAAAATATCAAACAGTACAAAACAATTCAGTGATTGACATTTATCATAGAAGTATTAATCAGGGTAATTTCCATTCTCAATCTGAAAATCTACAGCTTGACATGAATACTGAATAGACCTATTTGCCATAAACATGATGGAGAGTGTTGGTTTAAATGAGCTAAGATATAGTTATTTTCAGACAGGTTGTCTCCAAATGCATTAGGAAAAACAATTACTTCTGACTGTAAACTTTACAAATATCTATTTAAAGATTTTAATAGGGATAAAAAAATGGGAATATACATAAGTTGATAAAAGGAAATTACAATTTCTTTTCAAATTGAATTGTATTGCAATGAGTTTCCCTTTGATGAAATGGAGGCAGTCGTATGTCCTTTATATTCCCATTACATCTGACAATTTAATACATTAAATCCATACAATTAGGATATAAACTTTTTATGTCTTAAGAATAAAAAATTGATAATGTATTTTAATTTCCTGAAATTAAATCAATTTTAGAGGTCATCTTGATATTTTCTACAGCATAATTTATTACAATATTAAATGGATATATAATGAAGAATGGTTTGTCAGTAGTGACAGATGAAACATTGTGAGCATAGTGTTGACATTAATTACAGCATGGTTATCACCTTTGTTGTCATTTATACTGGGGGGCATCTATACCAGATTCAGTCTACATAGACAACCCTCCCATACATACAACTACCCCCTGCTACACACACAAACTCACCTTCCAAACAGGCATCCCTGCCCCACCCCCCCCCCCCCCCCCCCCCACACACACACACATGTTCCCCTACCACACAACCAACCCTCACACATAACCACCCCTGCCACACCCAACCATACATATCACACCCAACCACCCCTGCCACACCCAACCACACATATCACACCCAACCACCCCTGCCACACCCAACCACACATATCACACCCAACCACCCCTGCCACACACAACCACCCCGACACACACAAACACACATATCACACACAACCATCCCTACCACCACTGTTACACAACCACCTCTGCTGAACAACCACCTCTGATGCACAACCACCTCTGCTACACAACCACCTCTGATGCACAACCACCTCTGCTACACAACCACCTCTGCTACACAACCACCACTGCTGAACAACCACCTCTGCTACACAACCACCTCTGCTGCACAACCACCTCTGCTACACACTTATGACTCCCACAACATGACTCTCAATCTTATCCCTACCCTACACACCTGTCTTCAACAACCAGTGACTTTTGGTTATCTATTATATTTTTTAATGAAAAAGAAAACAACCATAAAACTACGAATAATATCGTTGTCTATGATACACCTTGATTTGTGGATAATTTTGCAAAAGTTAAAATAAACTTTTTATTTGTAAATATACTTTTTGACTGAATTTTTGAAAAACAAACAGATATTTCATGAGCATTTTATAAGTTAAATTTGAACCAACCAGGACAATAAATACCTCCATAAAAGTTTGCTTCCTGCCTCTAGGTTTAATTATGTCAAACTGCTTTGGTCTAAAAGTAAATGATGTCAGTCTGATCGGAATTCAGAATTATTTCAATATCAAAGCTTGCCACAGTTTGAGTTTTTAAAAATTCAGATGTAAATCATTTTTGTTGATATCACATATCTATCTTTACCCATTCTGATATAGGAACTACATATAACTAAACTGATCAAATTATTTTTTATAATAAAAATATCATGTTCAAGATCAAACAATTTCTTAGCTACTCATTAATGACATCTACTGAGATGAAATAAAATGGTTTAATTTATTGGAAGAATATTTCAAATGAAGAGTCATGATATTAATATTTTAGTTGTGACAGAAAATTCATTTTGATATAATCAAAGATTAAACACTTAATAAATTTGAAATTGGAATAATACTTTATTTAAGGAAACTGACAATTATCAGTTATTTCATGCCAACTGGCTTAATTAATACCATGTCACTGTCAGCTAGTCATAATGAAAAAAGAAATGCAATCAAGACAACTAAAAAAACAACAAAAGAATCAGACTATAAAGACAAACTTCTGAAGTAAAAAATTCAAATAATCTCATTTTCATCCACACCCTAAGACCAAGCTAAATGAAATGTAAACTAATCATTTTCAAATTAAAACATAAATCTTTGACGATGATATAAACCCTTCTATTGCTGTCATCCTATCGTCAATGAACATCTCAAATCAAGAAAGATTGACAAGTGCTGTCGTCGATATACAAGTGTAAATTTCGATTCATCAACGCAACAAAAGCATTTCTCAGCAGTCAATCAGGCAGTGCCACAATTAGGTTGGAGAATTCTCCAAACCACAAAATCGCGTCTTAACATCAAACGTAACTCTAGAAACACAATGCAAGGGAAGTAATGAGAAGCTTATTATGAATCAGTCGGCGACAGACCACAAAATAACTTCAAACAAAGACGGACTCAGATACAGCTAACAGGACTAATGGATTCGTCAATCTTTTCTTTGCGGACACTAATTGAGCCCTGATTTTTAAATTCAACAAGCGCGAGGGAACGTGCACGAAAAACCACAAGTTTCATTAGTCTAAAAACAGGAGTTTAATGGATGACAGAGAGGCTGTTAGATGCATGGATTCCTGGTGTCTGTCCACTTCAATCCAATTCCTTTAGATTTGCTAAGGAAATTAGTACCCAAATTTCATCCAATTTGTTCAAGAGTCCAAGGAAAGTTCCTATTTGATTTTAGATCAAGATTTTTTAACACACGTTTCTGACATAAATTGTGATGGATGGACTTTTAAAACATTTGAGCTGTAAAGAAAAATACCATTAAAGGAGACATATTTTTTTTTCACAAATGAACATAAAAGTATAAGTTGTCTGGTGAAGTTTCCTTGGGTGAAACTTTAATATTTGCTTTGTCAAATTAATGAAAATTAATTGACCTAACCAGGAGAATATCACCATGTTTTTTTTATTGTAAAATTTTTCAGCAGAAATATGATTTTGGTTCCAAACTGAAATGTTATTAACTCTGATCTTAATAATCCTTTAAAAGCATTGTACAGAGGATGAAATAATGAGTCAGTTTTTTCATACATTTTGACAGATAAATGATGTAGTTAATTTCTTTTCTTTAAACAAAAGCAGACCACAGAAAGGACAAATATGTCAGTGCAGTCTAATGGTTGTACGACAAGGGAAAACAGAAGGATCAATACTTGTTGTATCATGCCCCACTCAGCAATATTCAAGCTATATGATGGAGGCCTGCAAAAAATGGAGTGTGAACCAGACAAAGCAGTGGTTGATATTATGAGCAATATCCCACACCACACCACACAAGCCTGACCACCTGATCCATGAAGATCCCTCATATAACAAGCAAAACCCATTTTAACCCAGTGTTCTCAAGACCAGACAATGGGTAGATTAGGTAGATTGCTTGGGTAGATCAGTATATGATTTGAGTAAAATAGGTAGATTAATACTGTATGTTGATCGATGGTGGTTTCCTCAATAATTTCAGGGTAGAGTGTGTATCTATATACCCTGGAGTTCTAATAGTCACACATCATGGGACCCAAAGAACAGGCTTCACACGTAGTCCCCATGGGAACTGAACCAGGATCATCAACATGTCAAGCCAACACTTATACCACTAGGCTATACATAGAAAGAAATTTGAGTGGAAAAACGTAATTGACATTTAATTTTTAACAAACCTTCTCTTATGTTTCTAAAAACTGGTACACACATGTTCATACTCTCCATACCAATTGAAAACAGTTTCTGTAGCTACATGAAACTTAATACTCTGTACCTGTTATACAAGCACTGAAGGCCTCCCCACATGCAATATGCACGACTTGACCTGTCAGCTGGCTGTCCTTCACCTTGCAGGGTTGGGTCACAAACACCTTATTGCCATGACCGAGTTGACCATCAATACCACCTCCCCATGAGTAGATGTTGCCACTGGCTGAAACACAATCAACAAATGAATCCTCCTAAGATGTGGAAATGCCAAACTTGTTGAATCTTAGGTAATAAAACATTGATAATTATATTTTCATGCCTGCTTGCCTCACTACCAGACCCACCTCACATAAGTGGACCTGCAGTCAAACTAAATTGCCATGTACTATATCAGTATGTTTCTTTCTTTCTTTATGAAATACACTTACCATATTTTCTTGAGTATTGTGTGCACCTGAGTATAATGCGCATCCCCCTCTAGTGGATTCAGTATTTTGGAGAAAAAAAAATTCGGTATGGATTTGTTGACATGGTATTTATGGTGTTACATGCTCACGGTAATGTCTTTCCGTTGGAGGGAAAAAACATCAAAACTCATTATTGCGTGTATAATGCGCACCCCCTTCTATACAGCTGTGTTAAGAAAAAAAAGTGTGCACTGTACTCAAGAAAATATGGAATGCAATATACACAGTTCTCTGAAATATTCATGCTTCATGAAATACACATGTATCTTGTTCTCTGAAACATTCATGCTTCATGAAATACACATGCACCTTGCTTCATGAAATACACATGCACCTTGTTCTCTGAAACATTCATGCTTCATGAAATACACAAGTACCTTGTTCTCTGAAACATCTATGCTTCATGAAATACACATGCACCTTGCTTCATGAAATACACATGCACCTTGTTCTCTGAAACATTCATGCTTCATGAAATACACATGCACCTAGTTCTCTGAAACATTCATGCTTCGTGAAGTACACATGCACCTTGTTCTCTGAAACATTCATGCTTCATGAAATGCACATGCACCTTGTTCTCTGAAACATTCATGCTTAATGAAATACACATGCACCTTGTTCTCTGAAACATTTATGCTTCATGAAATACACATGCACCTAGTTCTCTCAAACATTCATGCTTCATGAAATACACATGCACCTTGTTCTCTGAAACATTTATGCTTCATGAAATACACATGTACCTAGTTCTCTGAAACATTCATGCTTCATGAAATACACATGCACCTAGTTCTCTGAAATATTCGTGCTTCGTGAAGTACACATGCACCTTGTTCTCTGAAACATTCATGCTTCATGAAATACACATGCACCTAGTTCTCTGAAACATTCATGCTTCATGAAATACACATGCACCTTGTTCTCTGAAACATTCATGCTTCATGAAATACACATGCACCTTGTTCTCTGAAACATTCATGCTTCATGAAATACACATGCACCTTGTTCTCTGAAACATTCATGCTTCATGAAATACACATGCACCTTGTTCTCTGAAACATTTATGCTTCATGAAATACACATGCACCTAGTTCTCTCAAACATTCATGCTTCATGAAATACACATGCACCTTGTTCTCTGAAACATTTATGCTTCATGAAATACACATGTACCTAGTTCTCTCAAACATTCATGCTTCATGAAATACACATGCACCTAGTTCTCTGAAACATTCATGCCTCGTGAAGTACACATGCACCTTGTTCTCTGAAACATTCATGCTTCATGAAATACACATGCACCTAGTTCTCTCAAACATTCATGCTTCATGAAATACACATGCACCTTGTTCTCTGAAACATTCATGCTTCATGAAATACACATGCACCTTGTTCTCTGAAACATTTATGCTTCATGAAATACACATGTACCTAGTTCTCTCAAACATTCATGCTTCATGAAATACACATGTATGTAGTCTTCTCAAACATTCATGCTTCATGAAATATACCTAGTCCTCTCAAACATTCATGCTTCATGAAATACACCTAGTCCTCTCATTGATGTTTCATGAAATACACATGTACCTAGTCCTTTCGAACATTCATGCTTCATGTGAATCACATCTGTCTAAGGTAATGTGAAAAGATGCTGTTATCAGTCACCTTAAATTATAATAGTACATAAAAAATGCATGAAATGAAGCTTAGATTAATTTGGATGAAAATATAATAATTAATGTTATTTAATAAGTCTCTCTATGAAGATTTACACAATGATCATGACTTATTTGAAATTTATATGACACAAGGCATTATGGAATTAAAGGAACCTTCACTGACTCAAAACTGTTTCTAGTAATATTAATTATCATCCTTAGTAATGAACTTAACAGCCTACTCCATATGATTATTTCATTATTTTCATATTGATTATTTCAACTATCAATGAGCCACAACTACAGATGACACACAATTGATTTCTCTAGGTATCAAATGTTTGATTGATTCAATGCGTCTACTGAATAATTCTGGGAAAGAACAATCAATCATGTGCCTCCCAATCTCACAGATCTTGATGAAGTATGACTATCGAAACCCAAGTCAATGTTACTAAGCCCATATACACTGGCAGCACACTGGCTAGAGGATCTCTATAGTTTTACATATAATTGTTTTGTTTTTGTCAAAGAGCGGAAAATAAGTCAAGATATGTTGGTAGGAAAATAGTTTGAGAACAGATACTGATAAGGTCGCAACAAATTAAACATTTGTTTTCGGTTTGTTTTTTTATTTCCTAAAACAGAAACATGACATAAGTCGTAATATGTTTGTAGGAATATAGTTTTAGAACAGAAACTCATGAGGCCAAAACAAATGAAAAATTGTTTTGGGTTTACTTTTTAAATTTGTAAAATAGAAACAGGACAAATCTTATTAATTTGTTTTGACTTAAGGAAAAAATAATTTTAAAAACAGGATAAAAAATTCATGAACCAACTATGTTACATTTGATTGTGCTCAACATCTTCTCAGTTGCAAATTCTTGATTGTGTAATGTGTATTTTACAAAAACGATATTGTAAGTGTAACCCCAGTGTGTACATTTCACTAAACTATGTAGGAGTGCATTGTATGTGTGTCATGTTGCAACAACAATGCCTGATGCCTGCAGGAGGCAAGGAGCACATGGACTCAAAAAATGAAAATAATGGCCCCAAAAATCACAGTGTGGAAATTCCCAGATGACAAGTGCATAAAAACATGTTATCACCGAGATCGCACACCAAGCTGAAATTCTAAATCAAACCCAATTTACACCAGCTGTTTTAATCTGGCATTTTATGTTGCAGTCTAGGTATCACATTCCAACCTCTTAAACATACATGGATAGGATTTCACATTTTTTACCCATGAAATAAACAAAGCATGAACAATCGACCAGTATATCACTGTGTGTGACTTGCCATGCACAACACCCATTGTTACACTGAGTGTCACATCCGGGATCTGTCACTGGTGCTGATAACAGCAATATACATGCAATGTACATGAGATATGTACAGGCGTATACAACAGGAACAAAATGCCAGCTGTTCCTATGATTCCTCAAGAAGAAGGATTCCAGGTGCAATAAAACTGAGTTTGTTCTTTGTTGACACTTTCTTAGAGGCTTAGCATTCATATAAGTGTTGGTTATCTGGATCCTGCTTTATCTAAGACTGTTTATGTCCTGAAAAGTGCCAGTGTTTGAGTGTTTGAGTGAGTGAGTGAGTGAGTGAGTGAGTGAGTGAGTGAGTGAGTGAGTGTTTGAGTGAGTGGGTGAGTGAGTGAGTGAGTGAGTGAGTGAGTGAGTGCAGGGCCCACTTGCACAAAGCGATCTTAGCGCTAAGACTATTGTAAGTCAATGCTAAAGTATGGGAGTCACGATCATCTTAGCGCTAAGATCGCTTAGTGCAAGTGGGCCCAGGACTGACATGGACTATGGTGAAACTCTTGAGCACCGGTACAGGACTGACATGGACTATGGTGAAACTCTTGAATACTGGTACAGGACTGACATGGATGATGGTAAAAGTCTTGAGCATGGGTACAAGACCATGTGTTCCTCAGAGGTGATGCGACCATGTGTTCCTCGGAGATGATGTGACCATATGTTCCTCAGAGATGATGTGACCACATGTTCCTCAGAGATGATGTGACCATGTGTTCCTCAGAGATGATGTGACCACATGTTCCTCAGATGAAGTGACCATGTTTTCCTCAGATGATGTGACCATGTGTTCCTTAGATGTGATGTGACCATGTGTTCCTTAGATGTGATGTGACCATATGTTCCTCAGATGATGTGACCATGTGTTCCTTAGATGTGATGTGACCATGTGTTCCTCAGATAATGAGACCACGTGTTCCTCAGATGATGTGACCATGTATTCCTCAGATGATGTGACCATGTGCTTCTCAGAGATAATGTAACCATGTGCTCCATGTGTGTGCCTGCTTGTACTAGTTCAGACTGATGCCAGTTTTATAGAGTTTGCTCCCAGTCTCTATACTCTGAGTCGACCAGTCCTTGTTTTATCGCCTTAATACTAAACAGGGTGACATCAAGTATAATCTTTTAATGTCTTTAGTATGGCACAGCTGGGGATTGAACCACAAACTTTCTGCTCTCCAGAAAGATGCCCTACCCCTAACCACAGAGGCGGACCTTTCTATTTGAATCCTCTAGATGGCTGAAGCAGCATCTCCATAAAATATTATTAATCTAATCATATTATATCATCCATATTGCCAAACAACACAAAATGCCCCAAAACATACATGACAGACTTTTAAAAAGTGTTAGTTGTAGACTTATCTGGTAGTTTGTGTTCCTCATCACCTTTCAGCTACTTGCTAGGGGACTTGGGGACTAACACCTCAACACAATACTGGCTAGACTAACATCTAGTCTCTGAAATGGACATATTTTACAGAAAAAAAAAAACAGTTGTTAAATTATGGTTATAAAATATAATAAAGAGGAGCCCTGATACTGTAGTGATCTAGACTTGCCAAATATTATAGACCTGCATGGGCTGTTTTGGACATATTTGTTTCAGGGTCTGTGTGACAGACAAAATACTGGTGTAAGTCCACAACAAAAAGAATACTTGGTCAGTAGTTACATTGGACAAAGACAGTGGAGTAGGTGTTTCAAACAATGTGTTCGTTGAAATAATTACATATTCAACCTTAAATTGAATTTACA